TTGGACTCGATGATCTTAGAGGCCTTTTCCAACCTCAATGATTCTATGATTCTGCCTCCTGGGCCCCTTCTTGACTTGCTCCCTGGTATGTCAGGGAACCATGAGATTGCCTCTCGTGGGGATGGCAGGATCCGCTCTGTGAGTCTGAAGCAGGAGCCTTGGCCTGCTTTGCTAAGTCCAGCTCTGTCTCCTTATCACAGGGCCATGGGCTGATGACGAGGAATGGATCCTGGGCCCCTTCTTGACTTGCTCCCTGGTATGTAAGGGAGCCATGAGATTGCCTCTCGTGGGGATGGCAGGATCCGCTCTGTGAGTCTGAAGCAGGAGCCTTGGCCTGCTTTGCTAAGTCCAGCTCTGTCTCCTTATCACAGGGCCATGGGCTGATGACGAGGAATGGACGGACAAAGCCAGGAGAGTAATCATGGAGCGCATCGGCCTGGCCACTGCAGGGTAATGTCCCAGGCCGTGGTGCAGGCACTGCCCCCTCGCCATTTTTCCCTGGATTATTTCTACTGTGGTCTATGTGTGGCAAGTTGTGGAAATGGGGGTGGAGAATGTTGCTTGGGAAGGGTGCAGGTGCGCTGCCTCCTTGCCTTCTCTTGCCTGCAATTTGCCTGCCTTCAGAGCATGCAGAGAAGCCGCACTCTGTGCGATGCAGAGTCCCTGCAAATGGCCACGTGGGTAAGAGTGGCCAGATTAGGTCCCTGTTAGCTCGTGTCCATAGGAGAAGGAATGGTGCTTCTGGTCCTGATCTGGGCCTCTTGGATGCTTGGGCATGAGGGTGACCGAGCACTGGCACAGGTTGCCCGGAGAGGTTGTGGAGTCTCCATCCTTGGAGATACTCAAAAGCCGTCTGGATGTGGTCCTGGGCAACCAGCCATGGGTGACCCTGGTGGAGCAGGGGGTTGGAGCAGATGACCTCCACAGGTCCCTTCCCACTTCAGCCAACCTGTGACTCTGTGAAGGGTGTTTTGCGTTGTGGGCCGAAGTAACCTTGCTCTGCTTCTTCAGCCAGTGTGAGGTTGACTTGGTTTTGGGGGAAGAGCCTCCTGTGCGTTGGTGTTAAACGCCAGGGCAGGGGAGGCGCTGCCTGGAAAGAGCCCGCAGGAGGTGTGCGGGGTATGGCTGGCAGCTTGCTGACCCCCCTTGCTGGGGGATGGGCTCTCCACTGCCAGCTCGCAGCTGATGTCTGCTGTCCCTTCCTGCAGGGAGCCGTACCACGACATCCGCTTCAACCTGATGGCGGTGGTGCCTGATCGGAGGATGAAGTACGAGTCCAAACTGCACATCCTGAAGATGAACCGCCAGACTGTGCTGGAGGCCTTGCAGCAGGTAGGACAGCCCAAGCCCTGAGAGAGTGCGAGCCTGGGGTGGGAATAGGCTCTGCTGTCAGGGCATCACCCTGTGCTGTAGAGGCCCTGGATTTTATGGGTTTTTTTGGCCTTGGGAAATACCTCCTGGGAAGAGGAGATAACCAGCCTCGCTGCTTGGCCTTTTGCTGCTCACCTGGGAGGTTGTCCATGGCGTCGGTTGATCGTGTGTGTGGGTGCTCGGCAGTTGGCTCACCCTCGCAAGTTCTCCTTCTGCAGTGCTTGAACAGGAGGGATATGGTTTGGGTCACCCTGGTCCAGCACTCAGTTTCTATCTGTCATTTGCCTTCAAGCTTATCCGAGTAACTCAGCCTGAGCTGATCCAGACCCAGAAGTCTCAGGAGTCTCAGCCTCCGGAAGAGGCAAAGCCAGCCAGCAGCAAGACTGTGACTCCAGAGAGCACCCATCCAGGTAGACCCCCGTACCAGTGGTGTTGCCAGCCAGCCAGCCTGGCCTGTCGTGGAGCGAGCACAGGCTGGTGACGATGGCTGGCTGACCTGGAGCTTGAGGGAGTTTTATGGTCAGCTTCACTTTCTTTTCTCCAAGCCCAGCTCTGTGCACACTGTGCTGGGGTGTGGTAGATGCCTCTGTGCCTGGGAGAAGCGTTGGAGGGACGTGGAGCTTGAAAATGGGAGGGCTTAAGTTTGGGGACACTTGTGACAACTGGAGGTGGAAAGGGAAGTGGGTGTGATGGTCTGGTGGAGCGTAAGAGCTCTCCTGCTACGTGGGGTGGGCAAGGGGTGGCAGAGGACATTGAGTAAAATGTGATGGTGCTGGTCATGAAAGGCTGTGCTGTGCTTGTATGGCAGACGGCACCGATGAGCCCGCCAGCCAGGGCCACCCTGCGGCCACGCAGAGCCCGCCCAGCAAATCCAAACCGGTGGTAAAGACGTCAGCGAGCAGTATCAACGGGGCGCCTCCAGCAAACCCCAACCCCATCGTGCAGAGGTTGCCAGCCTTCCTGGATAACCACAACTACGCCAAATCCCCCATGCAGGTAGGCTGGAGCTCCAGGCCGGCAGCATGCCTGACTTGAGCTGAGCTTTTCAATTCCAGTCCCTCACCTCCATGGGACGGTGGCTGTCAGCCAGTCTAAGCCCTTCCCCTGCCTTGCAGCCTGCCTGCCCTTGCACTAACCCCGACTGGAATGTGAGAGGGTAAAAGAGGTTAGCATTAATGTGGGTAAACTGAGCAAGCATAGGGAACAGTCCCCTGTCTCCTCTCGGAAGGGGCAAGTCCCCTGTGCTCGGCTGGACCGAGGACGTGGCTCTTCCTCCTTGCCCCACTGCCGGCAGGCCATCAGCGACGGTGTTTTGCAGGAGGAGGAAGACCTTGCGGCAGGAGTGGGTCGCAGCCGGGTCCCAGTCCGACAGCACCAGCAGTACTCCGACGATGAGGATGACTACGATGATGATGAGGAGGAAGAAGTTCGTAACACCAACTCGGCCATCAGGTGACGACTTGAGCCGAGGGCAAGGGGCAGGGAGCAGACATTTGCAGAACCACCAGGGGTGGCTTCCTGATCTCTTTCCTGAGCACCGTTAGCTGTGTTGGAGCCTGCACCTGTGCGTGCAGTTAGGGCTGTTCTCTTGGCCTGCTATTTTGCTGTTCACTCGCTGGATTTTGTGAAGCCCTTCTGTAGCTCTTCATAATCAACTCTGAATTTTGGCTGCCCTGAGTAACTGTGTATTGGCAGCAAACTTTGGGGCTTCTCTGCTTTCCCCCCTTTTCCAAATGTTCCTGAATAAATGGAATAGCCCAGCTCTGGGGGGCTCCTCCATAGCTCCCTCCTGCTAGGGCTTTTCTCGTGCCACTGGTGGCTGTGTGGGTGGTGGAGCTTGACCTGCAGGAGGTCACCTGGTAGCTGACAAATTGCTGTATTTTGCGGTTGGAGGGCGGAGGCTGGCTGTGCTGCATTGAAGTGTGCCTGGTGGCCAAGGAAACGTGGTGTGCCCTGCCTGGGGGGCTTCATTTTTCCAAAATGAACCTCAGTTCCCCGGTGCTGATTGCCAAATCGAGTCCTGGTGACAATGTTGGCGTGCTCAAGCTGCTGTGAAGGTCAGGAAGGTGGGGTCACAGCGGGGCTGCTCTTGGGGCTTGTGGAAGAAGCTCAGGGGTACACAGCATCCTTTGGGAAGCCCCCTCTGCCCCCCGGCTGCGTAGGAGTACCTGTAGCTGAGCGGTTCAGTGGGGTGGGGTGCTGTCAGAGAAGCTGGTGGCAGTGGGGGTGACCTAGAAATGTTTCAGGCCTTGCTTCATCCCAGCAGACAGCCTGGAGTGCCGAGTGCGGAGCTGGCAGTGCCTGCGCTGGGCCCCCACCTCCTTCCACCACTACTCACCTTCCCTGCTGTGTTCCTGGGCAGGTACAAAAGGAAAGGGCAGGTAAAGCAAGAGCACGCGACGGGGGCTGCGGATGGCCAGCTCTCCGTCCTCCAGCCCAACACCATCAACGTCCTGGCTGAGAAGCTGAAGGAATCTCAAAAGGATCTTTCCATTCCCCTGTCCATCAAGACGAGTGGCGGGGGCGCCGCCGTGGCAGTGGTCACCCACTCCCAGCCCTCTCCCACCCCCAGCAACGAGAGCACGGACACTGCCTCCGAGATCGGCAGCGCCTTCAACTCACCGCTGCGCTCTCCCATCCGCTCGGCCAACCCCACCCGCCCCTCCAGCCCCGTTACCTCCCACATCTCCAAGGTGCTCTTCGGCGAGGAGGACGGCCTGCTGCGCGTCGACTGCATGCGCTACAACCGGGCCGTCAGGGACCTGGGGCCCGTTATCAGCACCGGGCTGCTGCACCTCACAGAGGACGGTGTGTTCTGCCCGCTGGCTGTTGCAGGTAGGTGCCTGCCAGCTTTTGGGGGGGTGGCATCTCCCCTGCGGTGACGGGACGGTGTCCTTTGACTTCGGGAGTGGATGCCAGTCCTTTGCCATGGCTCCTAACGCTTCCTTCCCCTGTGCGCAGATGGGGGGAAAAGCTCCCCCCCTTCCATCAAACCCGGTGAAGAGGCCCCGGTCGCAATCAAACTGGACGAGAAGGAGGGCAGTGAGGCCAGTGACAGCAAAGAGAAGGTGGGACTTGGCAGGACCAGTGATCACCCTGGGGGGGAAAAGTATTCTCCCAAGGTGAGTTTTGTGCTGCGGCAGCCCTGGGAACGTGGAGCTCCCTGCGCTCACCCAGAGACGCAGCAGCGCTGGCAGTGACCGAACCGCATGTGCACGCTGTCCCACTCGCGTGTCGCCGCAGCCGTCCCTCGAGGCACAGGGCAGTGCAGGTTTTGTGCCTTGCGTCATCTCGGGGACATTTGCCTTGGCGGTGGGCAGAGCCGCTGCCTCCCGCAGCTGAGACATTCGGTGTGCTGGGCTCTCCTTTGGGCCGGGGGCTGGTGGGACCCTGCACCCCCAAATCCCAGCCTGCTGATAACTTTACTGCCTGTCTCTGCCCTCCAGCCAGAGACAGGAGCAGGGTCGGGCGGCACAAGCGTATCGGGGCTCCCTGGAGGAGAGCTGGCTAGAAACCGTTTTACTCAAAAGGGAAGTCTTCAAGTTTTGTTACTGAGAAGAACCAGGCCCTGGGGTGTTTCTCAGGCATGCACGCAACCCTCCCCCTGTCCCAGAGAACCAGGTACATGGGGCTGGGCCAGGCTCGGGCAGAACCCAGCTCGCCTGGGGCTGGCTGTAGTGCTGGCTGATTGATCACCCTCTGGCTCAGAAATTCCCTACAATGAACTGCTCTTCTCCCCCCCCCCCCCCTTACCGCCCCCACCCCACTCTTTCGGCCCCGCTGGCTCCTGGGCTGCAGCAGGGGTCCGTCTGCTCACATTTGCTCTGCTTCATCCTGGCAGGAGCTGCTGGCACTACTGAAGTGCGTGGAGGCAGAGATTGCGAACTATGAGGCCTGCCTGAAGGAAGAGGTGGAGAAGAGGAAGAAATTCAAGGTATGTTTGTTGATGGCTTGTTCGCGTTGCTGATTTAGCTCCCTGAAGGCTTCTGTCTGGGGTGTCTTTATGTCAAAGTAGAGGGAGGGTGTTTCAGCTGAGAACGGCCATGGGGAGCATTTGGGGTCCCTTTCCTGTTACCAAACAGCCCTACAGGGCAGAGCCCCCCCCCCCGGGACAGACCGAATCCCCTGGGCAGCACTGACTAGCTTGAGGAGGATGGTGGAGCACTGCAGCTGGGCCACAGCTGAACATCAGCCCTGACAGGAAGAAGGGGGGAGTCTCTGCCCCGAGGCCTGGCAGGATTCCTCCCCTGCCCACCCTCGCCTCTTCCCAGCTGCCCTTTGTGGAAAATGCTGACATCTGAACTGGGATAGAGACTGTGTCCCAGTTGTGCACTGGCCTGAGCTGGGCTGGGAGCTGGGTCCCTCCTTGCTCTGTCTCCTTGGCCTGTGGGATGGGCCAGGCATGCTGGTTCTTTGCCCCTTGTTCCCCTTGAGCTCTCCTTTCTCCCTGCCACCTGTTTGGATTATTTGTGGATGTCATCTCTTTATAGATCGATGACCAGAGGAGAACCCACAACTACGACGAGTTCATCTGTACCTTCATCTCCATGCTGGCCCAGGAAGGTGCGTGCTGTGCGGCCGAGGGGACGGAGCGTGGGGTTCAGGTTCAGCTGGAGGAGCCGCACTGAGCGTGGCAGAGCAGCAGCTGTGAGCCTGGGAAGCTCACCCTGCCCCGATCTCTGCTTCTGCCAGACCCGGGGCACGAGGTAGCGCTCAGTCTGGGGAGCCACATGTCTCCGCTCTGTGTCCTTCTCATTTTATAGTCCCAGGAGGAGCCCAATGATGGGTTTTGGGCGAGAGAGGGAGGGCTGCACTCTGGCGTGGGCAACACCACCACTCCAGCGTGGGACATGTCTGTGTGCCTCTCCCCCTGCAGGCATGCTGGCAAGCCTCGTGGAGCAGAACATCTCCGTCCGCAGGCGGCAGGGGGTCAGCATCGGCCGTCTGCACAAGCAGAGGAAGCCGGACCGCCGGAAACGCTCCCGCCCGTATAAAGCCAAGCGTCAGTAGCCTGGGAGTCAAGACTGTGAGAAGCAGCAGCTGGGCTTTGTGGCTTTGGGCAGTGGCACTTGGATCTATGTTACCCTTTGCCCAAGGAAGAGGGACCACAGCGACAAGCTCTCAGCCAAGGTGGAGCCTGGGGACAAAGGGAAATTGGGTTTTCCTCTGAGCCCGAGTTGTGAAAGGCGGGAATATGTTGTCTTGAGGGGAGTCCCTGCAGCTGCAGCAGAAGGCAAGCCGGAGTGCCCAGCTGCCTGACTGTGCCACGGCAGCGCCCAGAGGCCATGGGCCTGTGTCTCGGCGCTGTGGCAGGAGGGGAAGAGCCCACCCGGCTGGTGACGGGTCTGGTGGTGTGGGAACGCCAGTGATGCCGATGCAAGGCTGTGCTGGCCGCAGCTGGCTGTAGCTTGTGTCCTCCTGCGTCTAGGCCTTCAGCTCTGCGCTTCCCCAGGACACTCACGTCTGTGTTTTCTATCCCTCTCCCTCCCTTCCCCAAACTTATTTTTGGTTCTGACCCTCGCTTCGGCCGTTGCCGAGCGAGGCGGCGCCTGGACAGAGCCCGTTCTCCTGCATCCACCCCCCGCTGCACCGCCCAGCTCCCAGAGCTGGCCGACACGTGGCCAGGCAGTCCTGCCTTGCCCTGCCCTCACTGCTCTGGGGATGGCAGCAGGGGATGCCGAGGCTCCCCCGTGGGCCTCGGCAGCTCTGTTGCTGCATGAGGATGGGTGGGCTCGTCCCTGGAGCTGGGCCCTGTGCCCAGCCCTCCGTGGTGGTGCTGGGGGGCAGCGTGTGGCTCTGCTGCCACGGCTGCTTTCCTGGGGACCAGCTCTGTGGCCCTGGCAGTGCCTGTGGGTCATGCGGGGTTGCTCCAGGCCCAGTCCCCAGAGAAACCCCGTGAATTATGAACAGACCAAGTTCATAGGGTGGCCTCGGTGCTGCTGGGCACAGCGCCGGGGTGGACGCTGGATGTGGAGTCACTTGGTGCCCTTGGTGAAGCCTTTCAGCGTGGGGAGAGGCGACTGGTTACTGTAATGCTCAAGGTGGGATGGGGACTGCAGTGGCAGGCGGAAGCAGTGGAGGGAGCCCAAAGCGGCTCCTGCCCAAGCCGCTCGCTGGCTGCTCACCCAGAGCTTGCTGGTGGGGGCAGCAGCCTGTTTCCTACCGCAGCACTCGGGCCTGGCCTGCCTCTTGCCTGCCGCCTCCTGCCAGCCCCGCCAGCGCTCCTGCGCATGGCCTTCTGCCTGTCCCCAGCAGCCCGGCCGAAATCTCAGAAGCCAGAGGTCAGCACCTCTCTCCAGGGGTGTCCTGAGGCACAGCTGGGCCAAGGGGAGCTGCCACAGGAGAGGACTGAGTTTTGCAAATGTGCAAATTTGTACAGATCTTGACTATGGAATGAAACTGTTCTTTTGGTATTTGTTGAAGGGAAGAAAATCCTTCTGTTTCTTGCTGTGTCTAATATCAAGTTCTGTAAATAATGGATCTGTCTGAAGGAATAAAGCTATCCTGTAACAGCCAGCCAAGGGAGAGGTGTGTGAGGGAAGGGAGAGGGGCATGTGCGCGGCTTGGAGCACTGAGTGCCTGCTCCGGGCCACATTGTCCCTGCTGGCAGCTCTTCTGTGGTGCTAAAAACTTGAGGTAATTGTGGGGATTGCAACAACACCAGGTGCATGTGATGCTGGTGGAGTCGAGCTCAATTTATTGACACAGCTCAGAGGGCAGGAGGAGAGGGGGAGCGGCTGCTGGCAGTCAGCGCTTGGCTCCTGCTGCCTGCCCGTGCTGCCTACCTCTGTGCAGGACGGCGGAGGCCCCGGCTCAGGCCCTTGGCTGGGATGGTTTCCTGGGCTGGGTGGGTTTTCCGGCTAGAAGTCCAGGGCACAGATCAACGCTGTGCCCCGTTTGATCCAGTGCTTCTGTGGCTTGTCCGTAGGGATCTCGACAGCAATCACATAGTTGGTGGAGTGGCCCGTTGTTGACAGTGTGCCTGTAATGGGGGAAGCAAGGGCAAGAGGGTGGTACTGCAGCCCTGGCTGCTGCACGCTGACCAGGGAGTGCTGTACAAGTGACCCCACGTGAGATCCCCTGTCCCATCCCTGTGCTAGGTGACAGGCTGAGCAGGGCTGTGGGAAGCAGGCTTGTGTATTTTTGGGTGTGGGCTTGAGGAGAGCCTGGCCAGAGGCACTGCTGCATAGCCAGGATGCCTGCCTGCTCTGTCTCCACGACCACGGCAGGAGAAATCTTCTCCCTGGATGGTCTCAGCTGACAGTGCCTTGCTCTGTGCCAGTGTGTGGCAAGAGGAACTCCTGCAGCCTCTCCTGGGCTGCCCTTCCTAGCTGCTTCTAGAGTCTCCCTTGCTTCTGGAGATCTGTCTTTAGGGCACCTACCTGCGCGAGTGAGAGTCTTATAGATTGGGCACAGGTAGGTGCCAGTGGCTGGAGGCTTGCGGTTGGGGACAGGAAGCAGCCAGATGACGGCCATCTCCATGTAAAGCTCCTTGGGGCGTGACTCTGCTAGCTGAAACGCAGCAGGGTCCCAGCGGGCGCCTTCGAGAAACAAGCCGTGGATGTAGCAGCCTTCGTCGGGATGGCGAGTGAGCTCGCTCGCTGACTCCTTCATTACCTGCAGAGGAGAGCAGGCCCAGGGCCCTGATCAAGGCGTGTCCCTGGAGGCTCAGCCCCAAGGACCCCCTTAAGCTGCTCTTAGTTAAGTCAGTGCTGCCAAAGGAGAGCCTGCCCCAGCTCTCGGATGGGCTGGGCTCATCTGGCATCTCACATCAGGCTGTGGGGCATGCCTGTGGCAAAGCCTGTGGAGGGGGATGTGAGCAGGTCCGGAGAGGCAGAGAAGCCTCTGCTTGCCTTGTGGAGGTGTCTGGCAGTGTGGGTGGACGTATCTAGCACAAAGGGGATGATGAGGTCCATGGGCAGCTGTGCAGCTAGTGGCTTCACCTCTTCGGCAGGTCAGGGCTGCCTTTGTGGCCTTCTAGCAGCGGATTCCAAAAAATTCCAGAAAAAATCCAGAGCCTCTGGCTGACTTACTGACCTTGAAGCTAAACGAGATGGTGTCGATGGAGATGACAGACTTCCTGGCGAAGTTCTGCAGTGTCCCGGTGAGGAAAGCCTGGGGGAAGAAGAACCCGCTGATCCAGAACACGGAGGGGATTCCGTGGCTGATCCATTTCTGCAGGAATTCAATCCGCTGCACCAAGTCGTTCACCCAGGATGCCAAGGGCTTCAGCGATGGGTAGGCCTGTGGGGCACCCACAGAGGAAGGTGTTGAACACAAAGACACCCTAGAACTTTTGCCCCAGTTGCTGACAGCTGCCCAGAGCCCGGGGATTCATCCAGCCTGGGGCTGGGAACAACTGCGAGCTGCACTAGGCAGGAGACATCTCCATGCCAGGGGAGCAAGAGCCAGCTCCATGTGAGACAGTCCAGTCCAGCTGTGGTGGTTGATGACCCACTCCCCTGGTTTGGGTGAGCTCCTGTGGGCAGCTGGGCTGGCTGGGGCACGTACCTTGGCATTCCACGTCTCGGGGACAGTATTGTTGTACAAGCTGCTGGCCATCAGCTCCAGCTGAGAGGACATCACGACCAGGCCCTTGAGAGCTTTCAGCAAATCCTTCAGTGTCTGAGCTATCACCTCCAGGAGCCTGTTGTACCTACAGAGAGAGCGCAGAGGGAGCAGGGCGACTCAGTGCAGTGGTTTATTGCCCATGTCTGCCCAGAGAGGATATGGATCTGTACAACGAGTGAAGCTCCTCCATGTAACCCCCAGCCCCGTTCCTCTAACAGGATCTCATAGCTGCTCCCCCAGCCCTGAATTGCTGACGGTAGCAGATGGAGACACTGATCAGTCCCCACAGGACAGGGATCAGCTGAAGGTCCTGGTTGGGACAACACAGTTAGCGTGGCTGCCAACCCCACTGCCATGCTCAGCAATGATGTTCCTCAAAGGTGGGTGGCAGCAGGGGCCTGCACATCTCTGCTGTTCCCCAAGGGATCAGTCGGTTGCTGGCCCAGGACGTGATCCCGCAGGGGTTTTACCTGATCACCTCCTGTACCAGCACTGTGTTCATGGACTCTTCGTAGAGCAGCGGGTATTTGTGGATCACCTCCTGCAGTTTCATGGGGGCAGGCAGCTTTGCCAGGATGTCCTTGGAGGTCTCCTCCACGAGCTGGAAGGAAGGCAGCAAGTGGGTGAGCATCCTCCTGGCCATGGCTGCCGAGAAGGTGGAGAGCCAACGCCTGGATGGCAGTGCTATTGCTGGCATCCAGCAGGCAGGGTGGCACCCCCTGAGAGCTGGTGTTTGTGCTCGCTGCCTGTACCGGGCACTGGCTGCCAAAGCACTGATGGGATCGGGGCACCCACCTCTTCCCTGCTGCGGCCTCCCAGTGTGAAGGTCTTGGGTTGCAGCTGCGTAATGGTCCCCAGCAGAGCAAAGGTCTCGTTCTGAGCGAAGGTGATGTTGGCATTGTCATGTAAACCAAAGAGCTCTGGGCTATCGTTCAGTGGCAGGCTCTTGATGTACTGGAGGTAGCCCTGGAGAGGAATCCGCACAGGCTGTGAGGCCAAGAGCACAGGGACAAAGCTGTGGTGCCCCTTCGGGCTGCTATGGGCCTGGCCCGAAAGAAATGACTAAGCCAGGGTTGCTGGATAAGCTAAACCCAGCAGATTTAACCCAGCAAGTCACAGACTCAGTTGGGAGATATTTCTTGTCTCGGTGTTTGAGATTCATTCATCCGACTTTTACACAGCTCTCTGTCCCATCACAGCCAGGAAACGCAACTCGCAGCTTTGACTTACGGACAGCTTATGTGTGCCCAAGAGCAAGGGCACAGGCTGCTGGGGAGGCTGACAGGGTGGCAGCTCCTCTGAGCCAGGTTTGGTGGCTGAATGGAGGCCATGGCCATGGTTTGTGGTCTGGCTGGGGAGTTAAATTGCACTTGTGTAGAAGCAAACACGTGCTATGAGAACAGGCAGCTTGGCAGTGAGCTTCCTGCTGTGTCTCCTGCAGAGCTCCTCAGGTACTTGAGGTATGTGATATCAAAATGATTCAGCGTACAAAAGCATTCAGCTGGGGAACTCTGGTGATAGCTGCTACCACCTCCTGTGCACAGGGACAAGATTTTCCTCCTGTTGCTTGAAACAGATGCAGCTTCCTGAAAGCAGCTGAAGATTCCCAGGTTCTTACAAACTTATATTCCCCCAGGGAACTGGAAATGCAGTGGGTTTCAGGGAGGAGTAGATCCCCTTTGCAGTATGACGATCCCCCTGGATCTATGAGCTGCAAGTTGTTACTTGAGTACTTACGTGGAGGTCAGAAGACGTACTGATCTGCTTGTAGATCCCCGATTCAGAATAGGCAAACTCAGGAATTAAAACCTCAGGCTTGTAGAAATCTTCCAAAATACTCATGATGCAGCGCCTGTCCCAGTCGTCAGTCACACGGCCGCCGTAGTTGATTTCCCCAGCTGTGTACTTCAGAACCTGTGAGGGACCCCGCCACGGCTTTCTGACCTGCACATGCATCACAAGCCTGTTCCCTCCATAGGAGGGGCCAGCTCACGCACTTACCTTGTAGGGGATGTCTGTGTATTCGCTCAAGAACATCTGTAGCTGGCTGACGCAGATGCGGAGGTCTCCATCTGTGAACTCATAGGGGATGTTGAACCCCAGAGGCCCAAACTTTCTCCTCTCCAGCATGTTCCCATGGAAGAAGCAAAGTGACAGCAACAAGGATTTAAACTCTGCGACCTGTAGGCAGGGGAGCAGGGAGAAGAGGTGCTCAGCTTGGGAGGAGGCATCCTTGGATGGGGTCAGTTCCTGCTGGGACCTGGCAGAGGAGATGTGCCAATTCAGCAGTGCCAACTGGAGCCTGGAGAGGTGGAAACCTCAGTCAGGCTGCTGTGCTGGGGAAGGCTGTGGCCCACTCCCTTGCTTAAAGAGACCTGCAAGTGTCTTACGGAGGCAACAGGCCTCCGCAATCCTGTTGCTTCTGTTTCTCAAAGTGAAACTTCTAATTGGCTCATCACAGAGTAGATGTGGGCTTATGAGAAATACCACCAGCCCTTCTCTAGCACGTGAGAGCTCTAGCAGAGAGGAAGATCTGTGCCTGGAGAGGAGCAACATCCAGGTGGAGAGCATACGCTGGAGCAGGCACGGGCTGGGGACAGCAAACCAAAGCACAACCTGGGTCTTACCTTGGGGCAAGAATTCAAGAAGTCATCGCTGAAACTAATGTAGGACTTGAGCAGGTTGGCCTTGACCCCGCGGGGGGGCTCGATGGTCATCTTAGAGCCATTCTGGAGGATGGATACAGGGAAGCGGTTGCTCGGTAGACTGGTGAGCCAGAGGCGAAAGTCCTGATGCACCTGGAAATCCAGAAAGCAGCAAGTGCTCAGAGGGTGCAGGCACAGCCACTGCAGCTGCTCCTGCACTGACCCTCTGGTTTTACAGGGAACCTGGGGATGGCATTGAACTAGATCTGGGCTCCTCCCAGGGCTCCAGCCTCCTGCC